ACTCGAGCGGTGAGTCCTTCCTACCTCAGCACAACTTGTCGAGTCAGATATTAATCTGAATTATGCTGATCTGAATCTGACATTTCTTTCTGATTTCAGTTTCTTAGCATTGATTCTAAGACAACTGAGATCAGAACTTAGCCTGAAGCTCTGCAATAATTCATCTCACAAATAGGAAACTTGTATGACAGTTCAGCTTTAGGAATGGGAAATGCTGTGTTGAATAAAAGAAGAGTAAGGAAAGGAGAAGAAAAATCCTCACAGGCTGTGCTGGTGAATAATGACCGTATCTTCAAATAAACCTCCCCCTCATTTAAGCCTAGTGAAAATATTCGTGGTTTTGAATTAGAGAAGTAAAAAATCCTGTCCAACAAAACCAATTTAGAAAAAATAACAATTTTACCTTAATAAAATAGAGAATTAAATTGCCAGCTGATTAAAACTGTTCTGTGTTTGCTCAATTAAAGAGCAAGTCATACAGACATACTTATTTACATTATCTGTGATCTGACTTCAAAAGCCCAGTTCTGTTTCAGCAATGAAGGGTAATGTGAGAAACACCCATGCATGGACAGGTGGGACCACGAACATGCAGTCTTCCTCTGTGATCATAATTTACGAAATGTGATGTGCATTTAATGAGAAGGGATCTAGAATACGGTTTTTAGATATAATGAGTGCCATGGCCTCTTGCAGCTATTAGAATTTTATTTCGTTAAGAGGAGCTGAATCAGCTTAAATGTGCTGTCCAAATTCTCTTTTGGGCAAGTTTCCATTTCAATTTTGGTTTTATACTTGCTGTCCTGAACAGCCTATTATGTAGTTAAACAGCTGCAGCATTACCCCATAGAGGTAGCTGCATTTCAGAGATAAATTAAGCAATGTCTGTGTATACCGAGGTGTTAATTCCTGCCAGGAGTCTGTGTATGCATGTGAGTATGCCATAAAACAGCTGTTCCCAGAAGATGGTCCCTGGAGGTGAACACGGTGGATAGTTGCATATGGGCCGTGGGGCTGCACTAGGCAGTGAACCTGCCACAGCCTCTGGTGCTGAGGCCGAGCTGTAAGAACGTGGCATGGCCTACAGGAAGGTGACTGCTGACCGTTGTTCCTGGGTCCAGCTGTCTGGGACTATGACACTGAAAGATTGTTTTATATATATATGTGCGTATGTATAGATCCTCTTTCTGTTACCTGCAGTATGAAATGGCTGCCTCTAGACAGCCCCTCCTGCCAGTGCAGAGAGAGGTGTCCCCATTGCTCTGCCATACAAAGGACCCTTGGGGTTAGCGCTGAGCCTCAGTGAAGAGCAGCTGCTCAAGTCAGAGCGTAACCCTCACGCCTACATCCCGTGCCCCACGTTATCCCTCGCATTAGCTTGGCTGGAGGGCGGATCGGGGAGAGAACAGGGCGCTTGGCGGTTACACCACAGGGGAAGGCTGCTTTTGCAGCACGTGTCCCACATTGGTCTGTCCCACTAAGAAAGCCAAGGGGGAATGCATGTGCGAAGGTGAGACTTGCCAAGATCCCCAACCAAGAGGGCTCAGCCACAGGCGCCATCAGCTCCAGTGCCTGGCACTGGCCAGGGCTCTCCTGCGCTGCCTTCCAGGGGGAGCTCTGCCACCGCAGAAACCCTCCCTGCTGTTGTTGTGAACAGCAAAAGCAGAGATTGTTCTGGAAATGGAATGTGATGCTGTTCATTGCCTGCCTACACCCTGGAGGGACAGTAGGAGCATTGCCTTTGCCTCTGCTTTGCTCAGGTCTTCCTCTTAGTTCAGCAAGTCTTTGCTTTTCCTTCAGCACAGGCTTGGACTCTAAGGGTCCCCCTGGGCACCAGGAGGGTGGTGTGGACAGAAACTCCCCAGCAGCATGGTGACAGGCAGGAGACCCCCCCCAGTGTCCTGCTGTGCTGGCTCACCAGGCCATCAGTAACCTGCCTCAGCTGTAGCCCAGCCTAGAGTTTGTGTGTCAGCTAATAAGGTGCTTGGAGATCCTTCTGGATAAAAGGCACTATATAAATGTGTCAACCTGTCACATACCAGGAAGCACCTCTCTAGACATTAAGGGGTTCACTGATATTCCTCACCTCCAATGCAGTTTGCAGGTGGTATCATGACATCGTAAGATGCTCTGGGAGCAGTAATGGAAGTAAAGCTGCTTCACATTTCATTTAAGCTCTTGGATACTGAGGCTCCTGCTATACAGATTTCCCAGCTTTTCAGCCCACACAGCTTGACAGCTGGAGGTGTCAGACCAACTTCAGACCTCAAATTAACATGTGCAAACCAGCACCTGATGGATCAAACTCTGGTGTGTCCCCTGCCACCAGCACCAACACTGAGACACCGAGGAGGACACCAAACCCACCAGCCAGCAGGGCAGGCTCAAGGTGTTGGATAGGAAGGGCTGAGATGAGCTGGTATCAGGCTCACTGCTCTGGGCGCTGGGGTGGGTCTGCATGGGCAGGACTTGGCGTGGAGCAGTAGCGCTGCCCAAGGCACCATGGGGCCAGGAGCCTCTCAAGGCCACTGCTCCAACAGGGCATGAGGAGACTGACTGCAGGTCACGTACGGCATGTCATCACGTAGCGATTGTTTCTTTTCCTCGTAAAACCACCCAATGACTGAATATTTCCTCACTTCATACTAGATGCAGTGCTGAAGAAGAGTACTAATTTACTGATCCAGCAGGACATGGGCTTATTTTAAAACGAACAATTTCCATTACATGAAAGGTATTAGATATATGTAGATGAAATCCACACACCTTCCTATGCACGCTTTAATTCCTTCCTGACTGATCTCAAATCTAACAGAGTGGCAAGGCTTAAGCATGAATTAAAATGTCATTTTTTGGTATTAAACTGTACAACGTTATTAGTCTTCACACACTGCCAAAGGCCATTCTGATCAGGTTGACAAGAAATAATAAAACAGTTAATAATGTACTGCACCAATTTACAAATAATTTTAAATCTAAAAAAAATATACAAAGCAAAAATAAGTATGGCGAATATAAACAATTTTACCATTCAGGTCTTTTTCTTTATTTAAATTTTAAGAATTCTGTTTATTATACTTGTGTTTTACAGGCAATGAAGAAATGAACAGAGACTTTAGATAATTTTCATCTGTCATAATAAATATTAGCCCAATTAGTATTCAATTAAACACTAGACTATTTTGCTATATCCAGCTGTTCTGTGTGGGTTTACACCATGAAGTCTCCAAGTAGAAAGCATTCTGCTTTCTATCTTTATGTTTATTTATGCTCTTCCTACCTTGGTTTTGTAACTTAATTTTATTTTTATGAGGTCAGATTACAATTGATCTGTTTATATGTTTATTAACATACCACATGCTGTGTTTCTCATGTCAGGGACTGAAGCAATTTGACTTTGATTTATTTGCAACACAAGTATGATAAGCATAATGATATTTTTCTAAACTAACCAGATGTACAATATGCAGATAGAAATGGCTTATTTGCCTTTAATGATAGAATGTTACCTGTACAAGAATTTAATATATTGCACTTTGAAATGTAACATGCACAGATAACATCAGATTTTTCAGTAGGCATCTAGTTTACTTCTGATCCTTTTTTTTTTTTTTTTTTTTTTTTTTTGGAACAAAGGCAGAACAAAGAGAAATCATAGATAGTCAAACCTTATATTGAACATTTTCTCCTAATGGTATGGGCAATGTAAAATACAGGCTTGGTGTCATTCACACAGGCCTATTTTTGCCTGAGAACATCCAATAAAATTTTAACATATCAAAAATTGATTCTAAAATCAAAGACTTATGCAGACTGCTCCAAGTCAGCATTATTAGGTCAGCTGGGATCTAAGCTTATCTGTAATCTGCTGTTTTTATAGTTTGTCTTTATAAAGTCTGATTACTGTCAGGATCAAATACGACTTGTTTTAACTGCATGACCTGTTGCTGCGGGTGGGGGCTTTCAAACAAGTCAAGTGTGATTTCTCCTTGAAGTGTACAGGAAAATTAGACAAAATGCTTCAGCTGCCATATACATATATATATGTATGTATGGGTGTATGTGTGTCTATTTTAAATTTCTTAAATCTAGGAAAGACACTGGCTTTAATTTTGTGTGTGTATTTCTAATTAGCAGCTCCACTTTAAGACATCAGTTTTCAAGACTAATGATGCCAATGTCTGCAGGTACATTTATATTTAAAATAGTATAATAAATATAGGAAGTAGCATCAATATTGTATACTACCTAGGATTCAGCTCTTTCCTTAAAAGAAAATGCCTTCAAAACATGAGGGATGGGAAATATAATGTTTTAATCTATAGAAGAATATTTCAGGGATTTTTCTTTTTTTTTTTTTTTTTTTTCATTTTTGAAGGATATACATTCGTCTTGGTTTTTGCTTCCAAATAAAGTTTAAGGCTATTTGGTAAAGTATATACCAGATATCAGGCTCAATTTACAGGGTTTTCTCCTCACAGAAACTTCTCTAATCTTCACCTCTAAAGATTCGTATCTTGAAGCTAAACATGCTTTATCAGCTGTGCTCCAAAGACAGAACTCATGCTCAATACTACACACTGTAGGAAAAAGAGAAGGAAAAAGAAAAACAACAACAAAAAAAAAAACCCAAAAGAAAACAGATTTGAAGCAATGTCAGATCTGCATAACCTACGACACTTCATGTTTTCAGTCATCCATCAGGCTGCAGGGTGCATGGGATTCGGATTTAAAGTGCTCATCAGGTGAAGAACCAAAGTGCTTGAGTATAATTAAATAGCTGTTCTGCCTATGGCTAAATACATTGCATTTGTTAAAGCAGGTAAAGAGGGGATGCAGTAGTTGGGGCTGTCTGGCTCATTGAGTTCAGACTGTTTTGACCTAAAGTAGTGTTCAGAAGGATTCAAACCTTGGAATCAGGGGCTGCGGGATACTCATCTTATTGCGTCTTCACCTGAAGACTTCTAAGTGCTGGGTTGCTCGGTTGGCTCTGGAAGGTAGGTGAAGTGGAATAATTCTCTCTTAATTTGTTTTAAATTAAAGCCTCTTTGACTGTGGTAGTTACCACTTCTCTCTTCTGATGATGTGAGGCTTGAAAATTCATTATTTTCCTTATATTCCATGGCTGGAAACCACTTATCTCTTGAGTCATGGGGTTTTCTATGTCTGAAGCAAGCAAGAAGCTTCTTCTTGCCATAAATGATACTGCATAGAAAAATAGTTCTAAAAAAAAATACAACTGTAAACCACAGTTCACCTTTACCTTAACATAACCATTTAAACTTAGATATACTTACCACTCACATTCATATTTCTTAAACTGTTTACAACATCACAACTGGCATTTTAAACAAGCAAGATTTTTTTTTTTTTTCTCAAGGATACCCTGGAAACTCAATTGATATAACATTTTGAGAGTTTGAAATATTACATGTAGCACAGCTCTTGAAATGAAAGAGAGAAGGTTTGTAAAATAAAGGTTAACACGTAAAAGAACTGCTAAAAACGCAATGAGTGTTCCAAAGGAGTGAGTATAACTTTTTCTTTACACATCTTGCTACAGAAGATCTAACTTTTTAAGGCTTCCATTTTCCTTTCACCCATCACTCAAGTCCTCTTGCATTATAATTTTGCTTAGGTTTCGGAGTGTCATTATACTGCTAACAGCAAACGTTTCTCAGTGGGCATTCCCACCACCACCAGACTCGTATGCTTCTTGGTTTCTGATGAACTTTGGAGTTTTAGTGGCTGGGTATCCCTGTTCATCTCCAGAAACTTGATATGACACGAGAGGCCTAGTGTTATTCTGCAGTAACAAAGATGAGAAGAGTGGCAGAGCACATGGGTAAATATGTTAGCTGGGTTCTAGGAAAAGAAACTGGAGGTCAGAGAGATAAATGGGTTCTTTCTTTCCTGCTCTTTACATTTGTAGCACCTTCTACTTGGATTAGCTAATGCCTCTAGTGAATGGTGAGATGCACCCATTTATAGTTTGTTATTCTTATCCCTAATTATCACACATTTTATAAAAATATAAATAACAAAAAAGTAAGCTGGGTTCCATCTCAAGAGGTGTTTCTTGTTGTCCTCTGAGAATTTATTGGATAAGTCAGGTCTCGACAAGCCCTATCCATTGTAGCTGATTGTAAGTCAGAGACAATAAATACAAAAAGAAGTCGTTCTTGCGGTGAGCTCAGCAAATTCTGAGGAAATCAAAAGCATTCCACTGTGCTTATGGCACAAAGAACACAACAGCAAGGGCATATTTAGTGGAGAGAATGAGACAAAAATTACCAGGTAAGTGACAAACTGTACAAGCATTTTGTTTAAAAAAGGAACTCTGCAGCATTCTGTCTTTAAAGCCGGGTTTGAGCCTCTGGAATATATATCTCAATGCTGTCTGCACGCTCTGTGGCTGAATTCTGCCGGAAAGAGGCTGCTCTCTTAGCAGCCATTAGCCGTCTTCTAGCTTCTTGTCGCTGTCTGTCGGGTAGGTCCAGAGATTTTTCTCTTGTGATAGGGAATTTTCCTTTTGGGGGCTTCTTTGGTACAGGAGGAGGAACCTTTCTTTCTTCCTGCAATAGGGCATTAAAACTGAGGGTGAACTGCGTGCGGAAGGTATCGTCAGCAGAGCATGCAAATTGAAGACATGAAATGCAAAATACTGGTTACATACACCAAGCATGCTCAATTTGTGCTCTCCAATCAGCTGACTAATGAATTACATGAATAGCTATCCACACTAGGGACACTGACAAAACCCTGTTGTTTCAGCAACCATTACGAATTCTACAGTCCTGTGCCTTAAAAAAGACTACGCTTCCTTCTACTGTCCTTGCAGGTATCCTGCACATGCAACCTGCGTACCTCACTTTCATACGAATCTGTTTAATTTTAGCTGACACATTGTTACATTCATTATAAACAGAAACACACACTGGCTCTCCAATAAGAATTCAGCACATCTGCATGGTCTGATCAAGAGCAAAGTCTGTCTAAGACTAGCAGGACAGGATTTTTAATTAAATTAATCATACTGAGTTTAGCTTCAGCTGGATAGGAGATAGCAGCTGTGTATACATGTCTATTAGTTTAGTCTCCTCCATGAATTACTAAATGGAAACATGCAAGCACCAACCAGAGAGAGAACAGAGGGCTAACTGTTCTGCTTGCCAGCCTGGACCATTTTAAAGAAAATTATATTGAAGAATTATCAAATTAAAAAGTGAGAGTCAGTAGATTTTGGTACCAAAGTAGCTGTAAATTGCTCTGCAGGTTTTAAATCAAGAATTGTTTTGAAGTATGAAATTGATATTTTACTCAATTTAGAGACTGTGAAATATATAAGGGCCTTAAAAAGATAATGTAGAATCATGGAATCATGCAATAGTTTAGGTTGGAAGGGACCTCTGGAGGTGATCTCGTAAAACCCCCATTCAAAGCCCCCTTGAAATTAGATGCAACTTTGAAGTTAAAGTAGGTTTTTCAACATCATATTTAATACTGGACTGAATAGCCCCAAAGATGGAGACTCCACAACTTCTTATGTATAGTATGATTATTACGATTGATCTTCCTGCTATATCACTTCTTAAAGTAATAGTAATAGTCCAGAGCACGGGCTGTTGCTTATGGAGAACACAGTTAATTTGATGCACAGCAGGATTCAAATAATACAAAAATTGGACTGATGTGCCTATGGTTTACAGACTCTTCATTGTTTGGTCTTTTTTTTTAAACTAAGTCTGAGTCCACTACCAAAATGCATTAGCCAAGAATAAATAACTAAGTTTATTTAAGCACATAGTTCTACATTCTCCACTCAACAGGAACAGTGCAGCAGCCTAAGATGCTATTCCCCCTGACAGCCAGCTCTTCCAGTCTTTATTTTCTCTATTTCCTGTTTTCAGCCAGGAACACAAGGGCTCCATTCCTGTTGTCCCATCTTATTTTTTTTTTTCACTCTTAGTTATTTCCCTCTTAAGAACATCACTGTTGCTGTCACTATAATAATTTCTTACTTCCAGTTGTCACTAGTAAGCAAGAGTTGCAAACTCACCATCCACCAACCAGTTGGCTGAAAATTAAAATCCGAGAGGAGCATGAAGAAATGAAAGAGTTGTCAAAATGCCTCCTAATTCCTCCCAAACCAAACAAGTATTCACCTGAGGCCAACAGCACTGACTCAAACCAAGTGCTTTATTCATCTGACTGATACAATAACCAGCAAGGAGAGTGGGATAATCAAGGTGAGGGATGGAGCTCTGGAAAGGGGAAAGGCAATTTCAGAATTACCTTGCTTCTGTGGGCAATTTGCCACCTTTGGTTTGTAAGCATCGTGGCTGGGGTGCCTCCCACGTAGTGGAGCTGCAGGGCAGAGGTGCAGGCAGTTTGCCAGAAGTACTCTTTGTCCTCCAGATTTTTGAGGGCCAAGCTTTAGTTTGACCTGCACTATGTTTCACCACATGCTTTTATCTCACTCCTGTTCTACTATCAGTTGTGTCGTGCGGGCAGGATTAAACATTGTAGTGCTCAGGTTTAAGCTGCCCCAAATGTACCAGAGTGCTGAGTTTACCTTGATTGAATTCTCAGGCTATTGTCCTCAGTCTGAATTAATCAGAACATATTTCAGTTCTAGCCTTTAGAATGTGAATCCAAATAATTTGAACAAAAGTGTTATGGAGTGGACTAACTTATCAAAATCCATTTTATTTATCATACAATTCAGCTCAACATCATTGTTAAAAAGAAAAAAACCCTCACATCTAATGAAGGTTTCCATGTATAAATTGGGCCATGCCAATTAGATACTTTCTAGGGTTAGGAACCTATCGTGTTTCATTATTGTATTTAACACAAAGAGACCACAGGACTACAAATGGGGAGTAAATGGTATTGTCCATGGTCTGCTTACCTTCCTTTCAGGTGATTCTATTATTTTCCATTCATTGAGTTTCAACTGGTGCAGTTCATCAAACTTCATGCTGACATCTTCAATTGAGAGCTGCAATAAGTCCCAGAAACCTGCTAAGTCCTGGGAAGTTGGTCTCGGCATGGCGCTCGGGTCCTGTCATGCACAAAGGAGAGAATATAAATAGACCAGGAGGCTTTAAACAAAGTGCTCTGAGGCAGGAAAGGCGTCGCGCCAGATTACATTGCTACAGTGCTGCTCAGTGCTAAGGCTGTGCCTGCTTTACAGCTGGGAGCTGTGACTGGAAAGTTGTGCCTCCTACACAACCCAAACATGAATGAGCTTGATGTCATACGCAAGCCTTCCTGAACTCGTGCAGCATGGGAAGCTCCTCAGCACCATATGCTGTGCTGACCTGCATTTCTAAAAGGGAACAAGCTGACAGCCTCTGCCTGCTGATTATTAAAGGGAAGGGGAATGTGGTTCATATCCTAGCCAGTCAGGAGTCTTGCTGGTTCAAATTTGTATTTGTGACAGCTGATTACACCACAAAGAAGTTGTCAGCTTATGCTGAATCCAATGTTTACATTAGTCTTGAATTTTCCAGTGTATACATAAGGTATAACATTTTGATGAGGAGGGTAGGATTTTGTCCTCCAGGGAGTCAAATCACACTCAGGAATTGGGAAGGCACTACCTCCAGGTACTGCAATTCAGTGGTGCTACATGCACAAGACTTAATGAAGCAAATATTGGTGGTAACAATTACCAAGATGACCCTCTGTTTGCCTATTAACCTGATGTCAATGCTGGATAAAAATTACATTAGAAGGTAGCATGCAGGCTCTTAACCCTATGCTCTATGAGCATTGGTACTAGTTCAAGAACACAGCTTTGTCACTTTAATGAAATAGGGCTTAATTGGTAAACATGGAGATGGAGAAATGTCTTTTCCCTTCCTGGGCAGGAGGAAGCCTTTAAGATGGTCTACAGAATGGAGAGATGGAGTCAAAAACAGGCCAAAGAGACTCTAGATCTCCCTTTTCCTGAGCTGCAATGACTAGTTTACTAAGCTAGAAACACCGGTGCTATGCTGAAGCAAGGCTCTGTGTCCCATCTTTTACAAATCTAGCAGACAAAGGCATTACAGATATTAAACACAACCCCTAAAACTTGGGAGATAAGTCAGCAATTCTATTGAATTCCTCCCTTGAATCACACATTTCTATGGGTCTTAAACTACGAATTGCTACTGTGGGAGCTGAGTGCCTGGAGCTGGGCATAACAACATGCAGTCACCGCTATCTAAACCCCTTTGGGAATCCGGGACAAGAACTAGCCTAAAAGCCTATCCACTTTGAAGTCTTCTTCACTAGAAGAAAGTCTCCTTCATAAGGAGCCTTGAGGACTTAAGAGAACTGGCCATAAACATTATAACAGACTTTTGGGAAACATAATACAACTCTAGATTAGTGTTCATTGAAAACAACTTAATTGGGTAGATCTCAATTTATTCCAAAACCATTTAAAATTTATATCAGTGGTATTAGTCACTTTACAGAGGTCAATATCTCAGGTTTCAGAAACCAAATCCCTGTGTGAAATTTGTCAGGACGGTCCCACAGCAATATATCTTATATTGCAATCTGTTCTCTCCAGCCTGGTCTCCTCAGTGCCTCTCTCCAGTTTCCTCTAAACAGCCATAAAATGATGCCACTCATTGAAATGACATTGCCTTCTGAATCAAGGCTAATTGCTCTTCTGTACCTTTGTGTGTCCTACTCTGCCCATGGTGTTTGGGAAGATGGCAGCCTCTGGTGTAGGCGCTTGCAGAGGAGAGTACAGTGTGCTGTCTGGAGAGAAGAGGGCTGTCTCCTGCTACTAGCGCTCATGGATCCGCAGTCCACCGGCAAATGCTGGCACAAATATCACTAACTAAGTTTTGAGAAGATTGGCTTAAACCTGTTTCTTCTCAGAAGCTGCTCATATATTTACATCTTACTTGGAATTCAGCTTTGCAGCCCTCCTGAAGGAAGACTAAAGCAAGCAAAAAATACCTAGCTGGTGCTTGAGCCTCTCTGTTTTTGCCTGCAACCATGACATATTGAGCAATGATCTCACGAACTGACTTGAGAGTATGGAGGAGGACACTTCAAAGAAAAAATAGGGTGTTACAAGAGATAATGTGAATAATGCAGAAGAGAGTAGTTATTAATCAGTGATCTTTTCTCCTGGCAGTTAGTGGGAATAGTACACTGTAGGAGATAGCCAAGTAGATTCTTAAAAACAACTTCATGGAAGCTTACATTTTTATGAATTTACCCTAAGTGAGAGTCTTTGGAAAAAGATCTTAACCCAGGGCATAATCAAAGGCGTCCCTTGAAGTTCTCACGACCCTTTAAAAAAATCCATAGGTGATGGGCGAGTTTCCTAGTTAAATTTCAGTTTGAGTAAGTATATTCCTTTTCCTAAACCCTTGCTGCATTTTGAATTGGCAGAAGTAAACACCATTGTTCTCTGTCCTACATTTATGCTTATTGTTGTTGAATACTGTTAGCAAAACTGCTGTGTGGAAGCCCTGTAAGTGCTAGATGTTTTTGAGTAAGGGAATGCACTAGCTGGCTGTTGTCTGGCAGCGTTCCCCTGTGGCGCTGAGATCCTGCCTTAGGAGCATATGGAAAGCCTGCTGTGGATACACACTAAGAGACTATTTAACAACAAACTCTGTCATTAGGCATAGGAAGAAAAGCCTCAGAACATGAATGAGCTGAAAGTCCAGTTTTGCAGTTGCTGCTTTCTGCAGAGCCCATTGTTGATTTAATGAAGCTGAAGAATATTCAGAGCTTAAATCTTCAGAGTGGGAAAACACAAGAAATCTAACACAAGAAATAGTCAGCCCTGCTCAAGGGGAAGCAATATTGGACCTGATGGTCACCAATGCAAGGGAGCTTATCAGGGATGGCAAGACTGGAGGCAGTCTGGGCTGTAGAGATCATACACCGGTGCAGTTCACTGTCCTAAGGCGTATGAGTTTTATGAGAAGCACAGTCAGGACCTTGAATTTCAGGAAAGCCAAATTCCAGCTCTTCAAAGAGCTAGTCAATAGGACTCCCTGGGAAATGGTCCTCAAGGACAAGGGAGCAGAACAGAGCTGGCAGATCTTTAAGGATGTTTTCCACAGAGCACAAGAGCTCTCGATCCCCAGGTGTAAGAAATCAGGCAAGGAAGGCAAGAGAGCAGCATGTCTGAGTCGAGACCTGCTGGTAAAACTAAAAGGCAAGATGGAACTACACAGGCAGTGGAAGCAGGGACAGGTATCCCAGAAAGAGTACAGGGACGTTGCCCAGTTGTGCAGGGACAAGGTCAGGAAGGCCAAA